AATAAAAATAACTTGTAACATCTGTAGTTCATTTTTAAATATTTATTGCACTTAGGCCATTGATTCTTAAAGAAAAAGCACTCTTGAGAAATTCTTTAGATTGGATAGTGTTAGATTAAAAAACAGAATGTTCAGTCTGCCATCTCAAAATATCAGAAGGAGAAAAATTCCTAAAGAATGTAAGACATTATACATGATAAATCATATGTTTAAAAATCATGTATAATAAATAATACAAAGAATAAGAAGAAAAAGAGCTAGGAAAAATAAAATTAACAACTAAAGTGATATATCAAATTTATATCCAGGCAATCACTTGGTTTTGCCAGCTAGGGTTGGAGCAGAAGCGTCCAACCAATTTCCACTGCAATATGATAGCACATGTTATTATGGGTTCCCGTAACCTAATGGGGGAAGCTCTGATCTCAAATATCCAGAGGCCTAGGCCACCATACAGTGTGCCCCATAGAGCTGATTTCAGACATCATCGGGATGAGTTAACTTAAGCATACACCACTGATATTACAGTGGTCTCTCTACATACTCAGCTTTATTAGCACCTGTCTCTAATGCTACACAGCAAGAATAGAAATCTTGATGATTATTAGTTCTTCAGTAGCTGAGAAGCCTAGATAAATTTCGGTTGTGGACCTCCCTGCCAGGAAGTAATCCAGAGAGATTATTTTGAAAATGTTTGTGGGCACCAGAACTGTTACCTAGAGAATCCACCATCCCTAGGGATGAAGAGCTTATTTTCCATCCCTCCAATGACTGCATTTTTAACACGACCCAGTATCTCTTTTATTAACTTTTCTTTGTCTTCTTCCTGTTTCCTGCCCTATCCTGGAAACATTTCTTCAACATCTCACTGGAGAAATTCATTCAGACCCCTTCTATCAGCCATCATCCTTTACAAAGTTGAAACCAAACAAAAAGTAAAAATATTATTAAAATATAAACTTCATATACCTTGAGGATTTGTACATGTGTGTAAACACACATGCACACACACACACAAATATTACAGAACTATGCTAGCCCTATCAAATAACTTTATTAATTAGTGTAACTGAGTCCAAGCTCATACCATTCACCACAGGACAGCCAACAAGTCAAGAGGGCAAGGTGTTGGGCAAAGGAAAGTGACTTTTATTCAGAGAGCCATCAAACCAAGAAGATGGTAGACTAATGACCCAAGAACCATCTTAAGTTTGTGTGAACTTTATTACTTTAAGGACAGGGGAAGAGGTGGGTTGGGCTGTGAGTGGTAATAGAGAACTGCAGACACCTGTGCATCAGCGAGGGTCTGAGGAGGTTGTAAAACTCCTTTGCTCTTGGGCAGCAAACTTTGGAGGAGAAAGGTCAGGATACAACCCTTTAACATAGCATTGTTACTCATATGATGCTTTCCTTACCACCCTGGGGGTTACTTTTGGGAAAGGAGGGTTGCCACCTTTCCTTTAGCCTATGTGCAGAGCTAAGCAGAAGCTTTTAACTTGAGGTCAGAAGCAAAATGGAGCTAGTTATGCTAAGCTTCCCTTTCACTGTTGTATTTGTTTGAGACAAGAAGATAAGAAAGGGTTTCACTCATTAGCAATGAGGTAATATTTTTTAAAAAAGCAAAGGAAGGAAAAACTTGCACAATTTTAATTTGCTTTGTAACACTCTTCATGCTAGTTACTGAAATGATTTACTTTCAGTTGCAGCTGTGGCTGTCATGTCTGTGTTCACTTTTGCACAGGAAGTTAGTATTATAACTTATTTATACTATGAAACTGTCAGTTAATGTTTGCCATCCAAAAAAAAAACCAAAGCGAAAATAAAACAAACCAAATAAGGAGATAGTTTTTCCAAGTCACATCTGGAATGTTCACCAATATTTGCAAATGAATATTTATATATTGACAATAAATCTGATTTACATGACTAATTGTAAGTGTCATTATGCAGATTAGGCATGATGATAATCTATGCAGTCACATCCCTG